TTCAGTAATTCAACAGTTTTTTGTGGGTTAATTAACTGCTGAACAAGAGTTTTCAAATTTTATTTTGCAGATATAAATTTAATGAAAAGTACTTAAAGTTTAATGATGTTTTTTTAGACCATAATGGATTTTCATTTTGTGTTACTTAACAGCTTCATACTTTCAGAAGATACTTTTATTGACAGCAAAAAATTATTTTGTTTCTTATTAAGTTCCCAGTTGCATGGTACATACCAATGATTTTTATTATAAAAGCCAAGAGGTAAAGGAGGAAGTATGTTGGACACATTGAATGAAAATGCTAGAAGTTTTTTAGCATTGATAATAACTTTAAATGTCTCCTTTACCTGAAGTTGATAAGATAAAGGAGAACCAGTTGGAAAATTTCAGAATGATGTTTCAGTAAAGCTGAAAATGTCAGGTACACAATGAACAAGTATCTATATTTAAAACAGCAACATTGGATTTTAAAGTACAAATATTCTCTTTTAAATCTTCTTTGGTAAACATTATAGGATATTTTATTATTTTAATTTTATGACTTGGAATGCCTTTTGCTTCGATCTACTTGTGCATAAAATATTTTCAGTTACATACTCAAGTAAATTTAAAAAATATTCTGCAAGTTCAAATAATAATGCAATCACGTGATTTCATTACCCACTATCTCCTGTAGAGCATGGGCAATAGGTTTTCCTAACATAGCTAAACAGTCTGCTAATATAAATCTTTATATCACGAACTTCAATTTTTATTCTTGCTTTGCATTTTACAATTATATAAGTAAGGGTATACGAAGTATAAATACTATCATCAGATATTAATACTATCAGTTATAAATAGTATAAATACTATTTATAACCAATGAAGTATAAATACTATCATCGTTCATATTGAAATCTTTTCTCCCTTACAAAAGTTTTTTTATAGGTTTTTGGACTATGCATTTTTTTTATGGACTATGCTTTTTTTTTTTTTTTTTTGTAGTTTTCTGATAGAAATTCTTAGGTATATGAAACTATGGAAGACTTACAAAATAATAAAATACCAATTTTTTAAGAAATTAATAGAAATATCAAGAGTTTAGCTAATTTGAAATCTTCAGGTTAAACTTTAATATGGGGTAAAGGTTTAAAATACTTGCCACAGTTCACTATTAAAGATACAGAAATTCTATAATACTTGCCACAGTTCACTATTAAAGGCATAGAAATTCTATATCTTTAATAGTGAACTGTCCCAAGTGTTTTAAACTTTTACCCCATATTAAAGTTTCATCTGAAGATTTCAAATTAGCTGAAATGTTGATATTTCTATTAGTTTTAAAAAAATTGGTATTTCATGATTTTGTAAGTCATCCATAGCTTCATATACTTGAGAATTCATATTTTAAACTAATTGTTAAATACATTTTATTATTGCCAGCGTACATTACATCATTTGGAAACATTACGTCATTGGAATGTGGGATGCGCTATTGAGTAGAAAATTATAAAACATTGCAATCCTTATATATCGTCTCGTAGAAATTTTCAATCTTCACTAATTAAAAAAATACCTTATTTTAACATATTACGGTGATAACTTATTAAATAAACGAAATAAGTAAGTTTCAAAATGGAGGCATAAGTATATTTCTTCTTATCTTTTTTTGGCACCGATGATTAGCTTTTTTTTTTTCATTGGTTCCCATCAAGAATGTCTTGGCGACGTAAAGAACCCACTACACTTTTGTAATTTTTAGAAGGTTTTTTTGTTTTTGATGGTTACAGCTTTTAATGTATATTTTAATGATGGATCTTGATTGTTAAGTATATTTTGGAATTGTTTTGCTTGTTGTAAATTAGAAATTCCAGCATGACAGCCATCTACAAATCGAAGAAAAGATTTATTGATTAGTTTTCTAACTCGTGTGTTTCGTTGTTCCACAGTAACAACGATAAAACAGCGTAACAACGAAATAAGCAACGTTCTATTAGTTTAAGATTTTTAAATAATTGAATAATTTATTTCCTAGAACATCAGTTTTTTGTAATACTCTCCATTCATAATGTTTTCCTGATTCATATAATTTGCAGTTTTTTTAGTTGTCTGTTAATCGTTACTTTGCTTTATAACCTTCATCTTAGGTCTTCCAGTAACTACTAACTCTAAAAGTAGTTGCTTGAAATCCTTGTTGGAAATACAGATAATTAAAATAAAAGTCAATCTTGCATAATTTAATTATGTTGATGATATGCTACCTTTAAATAATTGATCTATCCCCACTTCTGCCCAAATATCTTTTAAAACAAATTCTGAAGAACATTTTCAAGAAGATGTTTCTGCTTCTAAAAGTTTATTTTCTGATTTAAACTTGAAAACTGCTTATGATCTTTTTTCAAGCTCTGTTATTTAAATTATTGTAGACAAGTCTTTATCAAGTCATTCTGATGATTGTCTTCTTGAAACTCAAGATTATGAATAGAATCTCCGAGTTTCCCATTTGGATCAACAACTAACTTTGCTATCTGGTGGTTAGATTATTCGCCTTGAATTTCCTAAATTAATCACCTCTATTTACAAAATAGACAAATTAATATCAAGCAGTCTTGTCAAAATATAATTTTCAGAAATGTCAACAAAACAGATGTTAAAAAGGATTTTAAGATTAACCAATTAAACCAAACTAAATCTTAATAAGGATGTAAATAAGAAATAACTCTCATAATAAGAACTATTTCTTATTTTAACTCCTTTAAATTATTTCTTATTCACATTCTTAAATTAAGTCTTATTAAAGTTGTAAGTAAAAAATCATTCTTAATAAGGATTATTTCTTATTCACGTCCTTATTAAGCTTTAGTTTTAAAATGTGAATAAGAAATAATTTAAGGTCTAATAATTTTAGTCTTGCTAAGACCTAAATATTGCATAACCATTTAGAACATAATACATATAATGTTTTTGCCATATAGATTGGATAAATCATTTAACTTGTAAAACTCAATATTTGACACTAGGTGGACATTTGTGGATTACAATCCAAATTCATATTATTAATATAAATATTGAACTATGCTTTTTAAGTCTCAAATAACAGGACTGCTTGGGAAAGTAAAATTATACGACTTTATACGAAATTATATAAGTTAAATTTTAACTAAAAAAAGTACTTTAAATACGCCATCATTTGAAATCATTTTGTTTGAAATAACTTACATGCTAAATAGTGTTGTAGTAGCTCATTTGAAAGATAATCCCAGCAAGCACAATCAACTCTAAAATAACGTTGAAAACCGTTAAAAATTATGATTGAAAAATGGTTGATTTTCGTTAAAAATGGAATCGCAAATCAACATTGAAACCAAACATTAGACGTTGAAACCAAACGTTGAAAACAAACCAAAAATCAACGTTTATTAACAATGATTAAACGTTGTTTAACCAACTTACATACGAGTTTATAAATCTTGAAAAAACAGCTTTTTGCGTCGTGTCTCTTTTAATCTGAAATAACATTTATTTTTTAAACAATATTGTGTTGTTGTGAGTAAGAAAAGAAACAATAATACTGATAAACTCATAATAGCTGTCATAGTACAATATCTTATGCTAATATACTGCACATCTTTTATCTCAATTGTTTCAGCCTTTACTTATTATAATTAGTATTATTAGTTAATTAGTTATTATAATACTGTTGTTATAGTATTACAAATAATCTGCCCTGTACCATGTTTATAGCGCAGGTAGCTAAGTTATAAAAAATGAAAAGCCAGTATTAAAAGTAAATCAAACCAAAAAACTAGTTTATATGTTTTTACAACTAACACTTATACAAAATTAAAATTATTTTCAAAACGATCTTGATAAAATCATAATATCGTGACCTTTATCATCAAATTCATATGTATTTTTATCGCCTTCTGTTAAATTTAATGCTTCGTGTTATACATGTGAATTTTGAAAATATAGATTACTATAATTCTTAGATAGTGTCTACCATTAAAAGATATTTATGGGTAGTTTCATACTTTCAAATGCTTTTAATAATTGGGATAAAAGCCATGACAACATTTTGTTATAAATAAAATTTATCTATAGTATTGTTAATACTTTGGCTCTTTGAAAAAAAGTTTTCTTTTCAAAAAGTTTAATAATTTGCTTTGCATGATTGAATTTTGGTTTAGGATATAATTGTGTTATTATATGTTTGTTTTTCTATTTATATCTAATTTATAAAGATTTAATTTAAAATTGAGATATAAAATAAAATATCTAATTTATGAAGATTTAGATCATTAGAAAATTTATATTTACAGAGTTGTTATTAATCATAATCAAGTTGTTGAACCAAAAAAATTGTAGAGGTTTATTTATCAAATATACTATATATGTTGTATAAAAAATTTTGGTTTTGATATGTTTTCGCTAATAAATAGTTCTATATATATAAATATATATATATATATATATATATATATATATATATATATATATATATATATATATATATATATATATATATAACTATGTATATCCTTGGAGTTGCGGCAGCGTAATAGTGTGTTGGGGGAAAAAAATTTATAAACCTGCGTTAATAACCCGTTTTCTATTGTACATAACGCGTTAATAAGTTTTATTACATGTTTTGTTCAATGTTTTCTCCCAACGCATGCTTTATGACGCTGTCTGCGAAGATATGTTGTTTGTTTCTAATTTTTTTTTTCTTTGTTAGAAACAGAATAAATTTTAACTTTTTGTATTAAGTTTTTGCTAATATGGTTGCAAGTTTTTCTTAATTTTTATCAATTAAACTTAAGAAACCTGTATTACTTTTGATTATGGCAAATTAATTTTGTTTTGCATTAGTTTGGATTCTTTATATATTTGTTCTGAGAATTTTTTTTTTTAAATTTTTTAAGTAAGATTTTTTTAGTTATTTATTAAGTTTTTTTATTTTATTGTTAACTTTAGAGTAGTAAAAAAAAGAAATAATTAGTGTTGCTTTGATAAATATGTTTAATCAAAATGATGACATTGCAATGAATGATAGGCTAGATGAAGTTATGTATTTACAAAATGATGTAAGTGCTATAAAGCGTGTTGAAAATAGTCGTAGACGAAATGGAAGAAATAGACTTAGGCGAGATGAAATTAATCATTTACAAAATGAAAGAAATAAGCTTAATCGAGACAACGCTAATCGTCGCCAAAACGAAAGAAGAGCTGTTGGACAAGTAGAAGTAATGCTATTCCAGATTATAATTATTTAGAAGTAATGCTATTCCAGATTATAATTATTGAGAAATGAATCAAATTTGTCAGCACTGTGGTGCTAAGAAATTTCCAGATGAAACACATTTTCTATGTTGCCATAATGGTAAGGTAGATTTGCCTCCACTTTCACTAATTACACAAGCTTTACAGGATTTGTTTACAGGGAGTTATGTAGATCGTAATGCTAATGCTAATTTTTTAAAACATATTCGAAATTATAATGCCTGCCTTTCTTTTGCTTCTTTTACAGCAAATGTAGTTTAACCAATGAATCATGGGCTTCCATGTTTTAAAATATGTGGCCAGATTTTTCATCGTGTAGGTAATCTTAGGCCAGATCAAGATATTCCACAAATATATTCTCAGCTACATATTTATGATCCACTTGCTGCACTAAATTTTAGAATGCAACACTGTGGTAATGATCTTTGTTTACGTGATTTAATGTTTCAATTGCAAATTATAATATGGAACAAAGTCCATTTGCACTTGCATTTAAAAACATGGCTGAAGTAGAAGATGAAGAAATTCGTAAGGCTATAGAAGCTTTTGTTGTAAAAATGTCTTTACTTGAAGGCGGTGATAGACGTCGTTATAATCTCCCTTCACATGATGAAGTTGCAGTTGTATTTATTGGCGAAGATGGTGCTCCCCCAACTTCCAGGGAAGTTGTTATTTACCCAAGAGGTCATCCTTTAATAATTGTATCAAGTATGTCAGCCAACTCGGATCCTATGGTTTATCCGCTATTTTTCCCAAGAGGTGATGCTGGTTGGCATAATCAATTGGTGCATAACCCTGAGCGTGCCACACTGGTTAGAAATCATGTTACATTATCTCAGTTCTACAATTATAGACTTTCTGTTAGGCAATTTTTCTGTTCATTATTTCATGGCAAGAAACTATTTCAGCAATATGCTGTAGATGCATATGTAAAAATTGAAGGCCAGCATCTTGTTTTTATCAGAAATAATCAAAATAAGCTGAGAAGCGAGCAGTATGATGCCTTACATGAACATATTAACAACATTGCCAATGATCGTAATATTAGACCAGGACGAGTAGTAGTTTTGCCATCATCTTATGTGATCTGGAATTTCTGCACAAATCAAATTATCGATATCCTGTGATGTTTCAAATTTATCATCATTTGCTAAATGAAGTAAAATGTGGGCATGCGGCAAACCACGCTTTTGAAACTCAATAACCTGAACATGCGTTACAACTTTGCCTAATACACCATGTTTGAATGTATCATTGAGGAGGTTATTCAACTTGAGTTTAATTACTCGAGTAACCAAATCAGGTCTTTCATTCGCATTCTGACCCGGATATAAATTTTCTGTTATTTCACGCCGTTTTGGGTTGCAAGTAAAAGTTATAAAAAGATCTGGTTTACCATACTTTTTAATAATTGCCATAGCATCTTCAAAGTTTTCTTTTAAAGCTCTAGGACTTCCTCGATAGTTAATTGTGAACTTTATGATATTATCAAAACTTGCATGGTTTCACGGCCCATGTGGGATACTGAATCCAAATTCTCCCTGCATGAAAGATTGGGTTTGCAGCACTCATTTACACAAAAATGGAATTGAGACAAGTTAGCTCCTAAAATTATCTATATGTACAGATATATTTATTGCACATATTAGTAAATAAACTGATTAGTTGCGTAATGAGTTTAAATTTTAGACATTTTTTAAAGTTGATAATCATAACGTACTTAATTAAACATGCGTGATGTAATTTGCATAGCTAAAGTTAAATGCTCTTTTACTTTATTTACTGCGCTCAGTGTTGCGCAGTTTGGTTTTTGCGCAGTTTTTCTTCTGTTCTGGAATTTTAAGATTGGATTTTCCAGACTTATTTTAAAAAGCGCGTTTTCGTTATAAATTTTCTTTACATCTAATCGTAATCTTACTTTCTTTACATCTAATTTTAGTAAAAAAAAATAAATAAGAACATAACATACATAAGAACACAAGGCTCAATATAATTTTTAAGTCCCGGACAAAATATCCGAACAAAACTTGCTTGGGTCAAACAATTTCCAATCAAATTTTTTTAATATAATTTTTACGGTTTTATGGAACCAAGTTTTACAATCAAAATCTTTTTAATATTATTCAGTTTTTTTATTGCTAGTTTTTTAAAATATTTCATTGATTTTTACATTTTTTTAATTAAATAGTCTAATTCCAAAATAGACATCTAATTACAAAATTAGGTAGTTTTTAAAAATCTGTTTTCTATTTAATACACTTTTTTTTTAATATACTTTTTTAATATACTTTTCTATAACAATCCTACTAATATGGAATCACGTAGCTTTTTAAATATGTTTAATTGTCGTCCCTATTGGTAATAAATATTTTAAATTATTTGATATGGCTTTCTTTTTAATAGGCTATGCTTAGCTCCTCGGTGCTGTAAATGGTGGCTTCAACTTTGTTTTTTTAAGAAAAATGTGTTTTATATATGCTTCTGTTTTAAAATATTTTTGTTACATATTTAACTATATATCATGTAAATAAATTTCTTTTAAAGATATGTAAACTTGATACTTGCTTTTTTACGGATTTTCAAAAAGTGAACAAAGGTTTAAATATATTTTTTAACTGTCATATATGATTTTATCAATTTTATTATAGCTGAATAATTACTTCAAAAATATTGAGTAAAATCCAATTGTGTTTATTACTAACCTGATCTATACAAAAATTAATGAAATAAAACTAATAATCTAACGCCAAGTTAAGACAAAATGTAAAATACATTTTGTATATATACAAATTAGTATATACAAATTAGTATATACAAATTAGTATATACAAATTGTATATATACAAAATATATACAAATTAGTATAAATATGGATTGGATGCATGCTGAAATAAATATGTTGATACACGTTAGCTATTATAGTAAATCCATATATTCCTTTGTTTTTTTTATAAACAAGTTTCTGCTGGATTACTAATTAAAAAAAAGGTTGGTTTAATAATAATCTTTATCATAATAATATAGGATCCGTATGCAGGGTAAACTCTATATCGCAAAAATTGCGATATATTTTTCAACTTATAGTTTTTCCGGATATCCAACTTCTATGCCTACAAGTTTGGGTGTAATATTTTAGATGTTTTAAAAATATTTAAAAAATATATTAATAAGATTTAAAAGGTTTAGGTGCGATAGTGACATATTTTTAAGCTCTTCACTCAGTAAAATGAAAAGTTTAAAAATAAAAGAAATGACTCAGCTTAAAGCAAAATTAAGTGTAGAATATATTCCCAATATTTACCTAAACAATTTTACGAAATTTGAAAATTTGACATCGATGTTCTGTGCATATAATTCAAGTCATTTTTAACTACTACAAGGTTGTGATTTGCGCATTCAATGTCTGAACATTGCAAAAGAAATGGTTAACTTTATCTTTAATAAAGCTAAGAATTCTCTTAAACTAAGAAGCCAAAAATAATAAAAGTGAGCTGAACTAAAAAATGTATAAATAAATGTATATTTCATTAGAGAAAGTAAATAAAGATCAAATTGTTAGTACTGATTTATTTACTACTAACCCGTGTTACGGGTTGCTTTCTGTATAAATAAATTTATATTTTATTAGAGAAAGTAAATAAATATCAAATTGTTAGTAATGATTTATTTACTACTAACCCGTAATACGGGTTGCTTACTGCTAGTATATATATATATATATATATATATATATATATATATATATATATATATATATATATATATATATATATTTATGTATATATATATATATATATATATATATTTATATATATATATATATATATATATATATATATATATATATATATATATATATATATATATATATATAGTATATATAGTATATATAGTATGTATATATATATATATATATATATAAATATACATATATATATATATATATATATATATATATATATGTGTGTGTGTTTATATATATATATATATATATATATATATATATATATATATATATATATATATATATATATGCGCCAAATGGGTATACCAATTGCACACAAAAATTCAAACGGGAGAGAATGATATAATTTTAAAATACAACAAAACAGTAATTAAAAAACCAAATTAAGTAAGATTTAAGTGAAGTTAAGTACAAATCAGTTTTATATGATTAAGGATGACAGCTTCATTCTTCTTGGGTTTCATTTAATAAATAATTTTGTAATATCTGTTTTGTCTAATACTTATGACAATGCACTTGCATTAGTGTAAGTGCTCCTAAACGCTCGTTCTTCATGGATGCTATTGTATAATTTGACAATCTGCATAGCGCAGATGCACATTGCTCGCATTCACAAGATGTTACTGGAAATGTACAGCCAATGCATAAGAGTGTATGTACATTTGGAAGAGCTCTCTTATCACATTTCAACAATGAAGCTTTTAAATCTTTTTGTTTTAAATCTTCCATTTTATCACAAAAGTTCTTCCAGCAAACAATTTCTTCCTTAAGCAATCCTAGTAGAGGTAAATCGTAGCTATAGATTTCGACAACATCTTTAAGATTTTTGATTATGTCACATATTAATGCTTGGGATACATTTTCACACGCGACATAAAATAGTTTTATAGCTTGACAAGATTGCTCACTAAACATTAATTGGAGGTCCGATATAATGTAATCCATATAAATAATCAGAATGTTACGCTTGCAAACCTTATGTGGAGTATCAGCTGGAGTGTTCTGACAATAAGTTGGCCGTTAAACTGCTCTTGATGTTACCACATCGACGCCCAAATATTCTGCTGTTCTTACAGCATGTTTGAAGATGAAATTAGATAGTTGTTCAATCTGAGCATCGCGCCTGTGTTTTAATTCTAATATAACTTTTTGTACTCCTATGTATGCGCCAACCACGTGTTCAGTCTTGTAACGAAATAGCTGTGGCCTCAGATATGATGTTAATCGTATAAGTGTTTACAGTGTATAAATGAATTCAAAGTTTTGCAGAGATTTTTTGTAAGACAGAGCATTCCGTCGATCATCCGATGTCCAGCTTGACCAATCTTCATCTTTACTGGTGTATACATTCAGATGCAATTTATCGGCAATAACTTCACTCAAAATAACAATGTAGCATAGCGCATAATAAAAATAATGATATGATATAAGCACGACCAGTAATTCTGTTAGCTGGAATAACATCAAGAACTTCTCGAATAAAATTTTTAAAGTCATCAAAACAAACTGAAATCGCGACCTTTTCTGTGTTGTGTAGGGAAACTTCATCTATCAGAAGAGTATAAAATTTGGCCTTTTTTATTTCTAAGAGAAGATCGGCTTGAATCATATGATAACAAACAATGTCAATTAATTCATTTTGAATTGTTCCAGAAAGATATAAAGCATTCTTTAGTCTTGGTGAATTGAGATGCTGTAGTAATTCTGAATTATGTTTTGCAAGAAGCTAAAGCAATGCAATAAAGTTTCCTTGGTTAACACATGTATTAGAATTAGATATCTTTTCAATAGATCCGCGGAATGTCAGACCTTGTTTTCCCTAAAAAAGCTTTATGTGTATTGTGTCAAGCTTTATGTGTATTTGTGTATTGATATTGTTGCATATTCTCTTTGCATCATTCAAATACTCCAACGCATATGAATGGCGTTTGTTTGAATCATGTTTGGCAAGATGTTTTGATAAATTTTTTCAGTCATCAGCTGAAGTCAAAACAAATTGTCCTTTACTTTCCTTACTACCAGCTGGCGAAAATAAAACGCAAACACCACAGTACAAACCATTTTTTTTCTTTTTGTACCTCAATTATGGGTACTTATCAAGTAGTTTAATGGGAAAACGTCGCTTTATTCCATCACCTGAAAGTGGTGCTCACACAGGATGGTGATGTTTATGATACAAATTGGGTTTTCACCATTTGGAAACAATGGCCGTGTTTCAAGGTCTAACATTCTAATACCAAAGCAAAGATAAGCACATGTACCATCTTGTTGTGCTGCATTATCGTCAACGTTAGATTGTTGAGTTACATTACCATCAATGATAGGTTGTTGAACTGTATCATCATCAATGTCAGATTGTTGAGCTGTATCACCATTATTGCC